TGTTGTAAAATACTGAAAATATAGCCTTGAGCTGAAAATGGTAACGATTTCCGCTGAAAATGGTAACGATTTCCGCACGTAATACAAACATATACAAAATTTGCAAACTTTGCAAGACTATTTTTTCCAAGCTTTACAACATTTCGCAACCAAGTTTTGCAATTTTAGAAATTTCATTATGTTCTTTTTAGCTGTGGACTGTGGTGTATGATTCCCTTTCTCTTTACTTAGATTAAAATTTAGTCCAACATGCAAGTTGTCAATTGATTTTGATTTGATTTAGTATATACCAACACTTTGCAAACACACTACAAAAAATTACAAACTATTTTAAATATATCAGCGTTGGCAAGAAGCGTGGGAGCCTAAAAGAAACCACCAGGCTTTTATTGAGGTTTTCAGCTCACGAACCCCAATCACAAATAATTAAAAAAAGAATGGTTAGTCGCTTGTCCTTGACTGTCTTTGTTATGGTAAGGTTTGTCTGTGAATATTAATTATGTATATATATTATTATTCTCTATACGCGTACAGACAAGGCTTGTACGTTGCGCCTAAATCGAAAAAAAATCGGACACCGTCAATCGATGGGAAATATCGTTTTTAAAAATCATCCTGCGAAATTTCATGACGATCGGACTCAAAATGAAGCAACCGTAGGCTTTTTCAAAGAACATCGCCCCAAAACAAGAAAAAGTTTTAACAAGATTAGCAGCCATTCAGGACCCAGTGGGGTAGCCTGCGTTGCAGGATGACGCCTCCCCCAAACCGAGAGGGCCTGCCAGGCAGGCTACCAGTGGGCAATTGGCAATTCCGGCTTTTAATTTATGCGCACAGGGCAGGATGGGAAGTAAGGTATCATATTGCTGATTATGCTGAAAAAATAAAAATGACGGCCGTGTAAACACCGAGTGATAGCTTGTACTTGTAAATATTGAAATATTTCGATTGTTTCGGCAGTTTTTATTGAATTAATGTTTCAGCATAATCAGCAATATGAGACCTTACTTCCCATCACCCCCTGCATGCATAATTAAAAGATGGAATTGCCAATTTGTATGTTAGGCTAAATTTTAATCTAAGTAAAGAGAAGGGCATCAAACACCACAGCTAAAAAGAATATAATGAAATTATTAAAATTGCAAAATTTGGTTGCGAAATATTGTGAAGCTTGGAAAATATAGCTTTGTAAAGCTTCCACATTATTGTGTATATGCATTACGTGGAAACTTGTTACCATGGTAACAATTTCCGCACATAATACAAAATATTCAAACTTTGCAAGGCTATATTTTCCGTCTTTTACAACATTTCGTAACCAAATTTTGCAATCTTACTAATTTTAATAAGTTCTTTACGGGAATTTACTTTTTTGCCTAGATTAAAAATTAGTGTAACATGCAAATTGTTTGTTTCTGGTTCAAAAATTTCAGTGATATAAGTTACTCCTAGTCTTGCCCAATCATTTATTGGTTCTCACTGACTGATTGCTTTGTTTTGTTTTTAGTTCCTATGATGGGAATATATGCCTATAATTTCCGATCCAATGCGAACTTTCAATGGTTGGAACAAGAAATCTCTCCGGCCCGAAACCTTACTGCGTTCACGATGCTTTTCCAAATAAAAAGAGGCGGATTATTTCCAAATCCTAGTCAAATTGCATGCTATGGCGACCGAGGTGATGACTGTCGTATTTCCGTTGTGATTAATGTTAATTCGACGTTGGAAATAATCATAGAATCAAGACGGTGAGTTGAATAATAACTTTAATTTCTACAATCAGTGTATTAAATGTCTTGGGACAGATGCCCCAAAACCCTATAGAATTTCAACAAACGTCAGCCCCCCCCCCCCCCTATTCAATGTTGTGTGTCATTTTTTGTCAGATTTGATGTGTTTTGGTGTAAGCAACATTGATTTGGGAAGGGGAAGGGAGCGGTATTGTGTTAACAAACTGTAATGATGCACTACACATGTGCCCCAACAACTTGCGAAAGTGATTGTAGCTGCCGTTGTACTGGCGTAAAGCTTGTTACAGACGAGCGAGTTTTCTAAGACACGTTTTCATATGTCAAAGTTTTCTTTGTCAATGGATTACTTTGACGTTAGACCAAATTTTAATTAAGCTAAGTAAATAGAAGGGAATCAAACACCACAGCTAAAGAGAACATAGCTAATGAAATTAGTAAAATTGCAAAATTTGGTTGCGAAATGTTGTAAAGCTTGGAAAGTACAGCCTTGCAAAATTTGCATATTTTGTGTATGTTTGTATTATGTGCGGAATTTGTTACCATTTTCGGCTCAAAAATCGTAACAATTGCCGCACGTATAAATACAAACATATACAAAATATGCAAACTTTGCAAGACTATATTTTCCGTATTTTACAACATTTCGTAACTAAATTTTGCAATTATACCAATTTTAATAAGTTCTTTACGGGAATTTACTTTTTTGTCTAGATAAAAACTTAGTCTAACATGCAAGTTATCTATTGCACGTGTCACTGGAAAATTTTTTAACAGTCCGTAGAAGGTTGTAGAATGGAATTTGTATATGGACCTTGATTGGAAATCAAGAATGGATTTTGATTATTTATAATAGTGAGCTTAAGCAAGTGACGTTTTTGACAACACGGACGTCGACCAGAAGTAAAATTGACGTTTTTCACCAATCACAACCCTTGACTCAGTCTTCTGACGTTACTCATGCAGTTCCTGTTGTCAAAAACGTCACTTGCTTAAGCTCACTAATAACCAGGGCCGTACGCAGGATTTTTTCACCAGGTGGGCACTAGGGCCTATATGCCGCGAAAAGTCCCAAAAAATAATTAATCATGCCATTCTAAAAATCGTAAATGTAATTTTCTCTGGGGGGACAGTCCCCCCCCCCTCCCTTGCCCCCCCCCCTCCCCCTGCTGTGTACGGCCATGATAATAATTGTATATTTCCATACTATGGATATAGTATCGATGCATTATAGACTAAATTTTGATCTAGACAACAATTTCATCACAGCTTGAAAGAGCATCACAAAATTAGTAATATTCGAAAGTTTCATTGCGAAATGTTGTAAAACGCGGATAATATAGCCTTGCGAAGTTTGCCGTTTTTCAGTCATTTTGTATTACGCACGGGAAATTGACAGCCCAGTCGGGTGTTGAGGCATGAACTTCCCGCTCGTAATACAAAATGACTGAAAATTGCAAATTTTGCAAGGCTATATTATCCGCATTTTACAACATTTCGTAACGAAACTTTGGAATATTGCTAATTTTGTGTTATCTAGGGGAAACCCAACCCTAATCTAACCCCAGCTGTAACCTCTAACCCTAATCTGATCTTAATCTAACCCTAATCTAATCTTAATCTGACACTAATCTAAACTTGACACTCACTTAAACTTTTGTAGACAACTGTTTTGTTCCATAAAATAAACACTTATTGGATTCATCTTTGCCCACAACCTCGTTCCCAGGGCTTCAGTGTGAGGACGAGGCGAGACACGAGGAAGCCCTGGTCCGGGCCGGTCAATTTTGCATTCTGATTGGCTAACACCATATTGTCTAAAAATAACTGAACTTGACAGTTGACAATATTAACAATTCGATCAACATTTGTATTTTTATGATTCTTATGTGTACGAGTATGTTTTGCAAAATAATCTTTCAAAATGAGACGTTTTCCCGACTGCATGATTTCGCCTCGGCCGGTTACAAAACTCAAAAGCCGTGTCGACGTGAGCTAAGACGCGAGCCTGACAAAACAAGAAACGTCTACTATTATTTGAGCCGTTTTCCCATTTACAGTATTTATAATGTAGTGCAGATGTCTGATGAAATACTACGCGTATTGCATTGTAGTAATATTTTAATTTACAATATTCTGTACTGACAAATAAAAGCAAGACAAACAATTAAATGAAACTACTAAATTAATTTAGGCCCTGTTTACTTAATAGATCTTAATAGCTCTACGCCTTGGCCGATGTAGTCCCTACAAGATTCGTCACGCCACCGAGTTTCACAGTTCCAGAATACCCAGAATAGTTGAAAATTGCGACTATACGATAAAATAAAACAAAGATTGTGAAGGGGATAAAATTTGTAGGCAAGCATTGCTCCTGAACGGCAAGTGTTGGTGTCCGGCGAAACAAGCGAATCCGTATATTCCTGTACAGCGTAAACAGGTTACGCGAGGTTTTATATTTGTGTTTATTTATATTGAACTACGTCAGATCTATAAGAGCATACTTAAACTAAATATTAATTATAGCAATAGCCATATTGTTGAAGACGAGAGAAAAGGAAATTTCGTGTGAATCACCATTTGCATGGAGACGCCTAGATGCAGCTTGGATGCAGCTTTGCCTGTACTTGAAAATCTCCAGAAATATTGGTATATCTTCGAAAACATAGACGGGATCTTCATAGATTTTATCTGATTCGTGCCAAATTTTGCTTCGCTCTACACATAAATAATATCGATTGAGAAGTCTGTTGGCTATTTATTTGTTTCGAAGACTTGTATATTTCATTGAAGAATATCTCGCCACTCCTTGACGAGTAGCTGTCAAATACAGCCATTTTTTGACGTCACGTGACCGGCCCGGACCAGGGCTTCCTTGTGTCTCGCCTCGTCCTCACACTGAAGCCCTGGGAACGAGGTTGCTTTGCCCAATATGTGCAAATATTAAGTCTCGACTTCAATATTGCAGTTTCTACTTAATATTTTGCCATATATTGTTCAGGAGAATCCAATATTAATAAGATACAATATCCTGCTAGTAGAGAGCCAATAAGATTGCAGAATAGCTTATATAGCTGTCTATATAATAAGAGCTGATAGCCAACCGGGTGCGTATAACACCGAGTCCCGTATCAGCCATATACGACAAGATGAATGGTTTAATTGTTTTATAATATTAGCTGAATACCCCAATAACTGAAGCAATAATTAATTCTCCTCTATTACAATGACATTTGACAATTTGTTCGGCCAAAAATCTCTTGGCCTGAAAATTTGAAAGGTTTTTGTTTTAATACTCGAAGTGAGATAAATGGTTTTAGTCTTTTAGAACCGGTATACCCAGGGGCGTAGGAAGCATTAAAAGATGGGGGGAGGCGGTTTCGAGGGGCACTTTTGGATGAAAAGGACACCTGAAAAATTTTCCCGGAAATGTTTGCGACGGTGTGGGGGGTCTGCAATCATACAAAATGCAATTTGAACAACATTTTTCACGAAAGCAAAGGGCACTTTGCCACCGGAGAGTGGGCATTTTTTGTGGTTGCTGAAGAAGAAATAATTGCAATCATAAAAAAATGCAATCTGAACAACATCTTTCACGAAGGCAAAGCTAGGGCACTTTCTGTGTTTTCTGAAAATTGGGGGGGGGGGGATTGGCCCATCTCACAGAAAAGCTAGATATCAACCTCGTACCCAGGGCATTTTGCTTCCGGTCAGCGAAAATGGCCCTGGCATCTGCCGATCACATGACCTTAAAACCTCCAGTATTTGGGGTGTTCAATTATGAGAATTTATGCGTATAAGTACGTATATAGAATAATTATATACATTTTAATTACTGGCAGGAGTAAACAAACTCAATGCTGCGTATCAACAAAATTAATTGACTTTATTATATAAAGTATAGTGCTTTATAGAGATTTCGAGCACTGATAAAAGTGATAATCTCACATGTGAGATTATTTATGATAATCTCACATGTGAAAATTATCGCTTCTCAAATTTCGCTTTTCTGTAAAAATTATCGCTTTTCAGATACTGCCCTTTATATAATAAACAGAAAAATACATGGGTGCTTGGAAGTATCAGATTTATTTCTCGTGTTGAACATGATATCTCACTCGTTCGCTGCGCTCACTCGTGAGATATCATGTTCAACACTCGAAATAAATCTGGTACTTCCAAGCACCCATGTATTTTTCTGTTTATTATATAAAGGTCTCGATTTATTCAGGTTTCGTTGTTTACACCTCATGTCAGCAACATAGCCCGTAATATTGATGACTTTTAAACATATTCACAGCCTGGTTAGCCTGTGATTCAATTCTTAATGAACAACCAAACAAAACAAAACCGCTTCAGCGTTTGGTTTATATGAATCGTGTTGTGCGCAAATATATTCATATCAATCTTTAATCGTATCACAATATTTATTTGACTATAACGCTGTACGTTTCTTGAAATCGTTGTATAAACAACGCATGTGAGAAATGTATGCTGAACCGAAGCAAATACTCGTCTGTACAAAATGTACAAAGACTTAATTTGGACCAAATTGTTTTGGGATGTATTATCTTTCCCTAATTCATGCGGTATCTCAAGCGATATATCAAAAATTTTATTTACTCAATACTTTAGTCCTTCAAGAATTTATTATAAATTTGTCACTCCACTCTCGTTCCAAAAAAATAATAGTTATTTCCACATATATTGAATAATTGCATTCAAAATTATTGACCAATCAGGTTGCAAAACAGACCAGCCGAAGCCAGGGGCTTTCCAATCTCGTTCCCCGAGCATGCCCGTTCGCAGGTTAAGGGTGGGCATAGCTCTGGAGAAATCGTATTGATTCTGGCCTGTGATTGGCTAACAGCAGATAGTACGTTGGATTTCCAACGTGAGTTCTACGCATGCTTGGCAATTGCAGCAAAATTTAAACAAAGTATTTGGAATTTCTCGTCGAAAATTTGATACCTTTTACACTGAAATCGATTGAAAACAACTAGAAATTCTGGAGGAAATATGTAGGAAAGCCTCGGTTGGATAGGGATATAACTACCTGAAAAATACAAGGAGAACTTCGACGTTTCGAGCGAAGGCGCTTCCACTCGTGCTGTTAGTGTTTGTATACATCGTACTTTACCTTTTATACTGTCATACCTAACACTACGTATACCATAAATTCTGGTAGCAGAGTTAAATGTACATTTTAAAGCATGAAAATATATATTACTTTATATTCTTGAGGAGATTATATTTATCAGCAATGGTCAAATACGATGTATACAAACACTATTAAACAGTACAAATCGAAGCGCTTTCGCTCGAAACGTCGAAGTTTTCCTTGTATTTTTTAGGTAATTGTACCCCTATTCAACCGAAGCTTTCCTACATATTTCCCCCAGAATTTTTAGTTGTTTTCAATTGGATTTCGGTGTAAAAAGTATCAAATTTTCGACGCAAAATTCTAAATACTTTATATAGATTTTGCAACAATTGCCGAGCATGCGTATAAATCATGTTGGAAATTCAAAGTGAATCAATTCGATTTATCCAGAGCTATGCCCACCCTTAACCTGCGAACGGGCATGCTCGGGGAACGAGATTGGGGCCTTTCTCGCTGACTATCCAACCGCTGAAGCAAAAAGCCCTGGGTACGAGGTTGGCTAGATATATAACATAGATGTTTGGTATCATGGTAAGTGCTTCATGTCGACTGCAAATTCATTTGTTTTTCGTTGTGAATTTTTCTTAACAATATATATTCTCAATCGCCATGCCTTTTCGCTGTTGTTTCTGTATTAATTCTTTAAAAACCTTTTAAACCAACTACGTAATAAATCTATTTTGCTAACCCGTCAAAATGGTTTGAGAGGTTTTTCTCACACGTTTATCTTTCTTGAAACGAATATTTTCCTGCTAAAACTCTTGTAGTTTTTGTGCCGCCATCTTGTTTTTCGCTACTCGCCATATATGAGTTGATATACAGCGAGTAGTTCAACCAATCAGATTGAAGAATAGCTTATACGGTGGATGGCTATAGTATATGACTTTATTTGTATGTTCATCTTGTTTTAGTTTCCATGTGGACCTGATGACAATATATGACAATTACATCCATTCCGTGGTAATGACATGGACGAATGATGGAGGAGTTTTTGAATTAATCATCGATGGCATATTACAATCGAGTCTGACTGGGATTGAAGCTGATGGCATAATATCTGCTCGAAGTCGATTTATCATTGGTGGTTCTGACGTTGAGAAAAAAAACTTGAGGTTGTCCTTCACAACTTGAATGTTTGGGACAAGGTTGGTTTTATAACAAACATACTTGCAGGTTCGGTGAGTCCGGGATTGGACGCACCAAGGGTGGCTGGAAGTTTCCCGAACTCACCGAGCGAAACATGCCATTTCGGTAAAATGTTAAAAAGTACTGAAGAATTTTATACGCATTTACTTTTTAGTATGTAATTTCGTATTTGGATAACGAACATTTTAGCCGCCAACATACTACCCAAACAAACAAGCTTAGGCTTAAATTAAAGCTAAAAAAATTCTCTACAATACTCCCCTATTCTTCAAAAGAGAAAATGAACGTATTCTGCGAAAACAATGCCAATTAAGATTTATATAAACCTGCCCGTGCCGAACAAATTTCGGCAGCCATCTTTCTTTTTTTCCACTTTTAATACAGAATATTCCATTTTCATCACACAAAATAAAAAATATTAATTATAAAACAATTAAAAACAGTTAATTTATTTTTTCATTTAAATCTTCGTCTGAAATTTGCTCAAATCGCTTCATAATGGCCGCCGCCGAAACATCGATCTCGAACCCACCTCCTAAACTTATGTCAGCAGGTGGGTTGGAGATTGAACGCCGACCTCCTCTTAGCCAATAGGAAAGCAGCTAATACGCTAGGTATGACATAATGTGTATTATCTCATACCTAGCGTATTAGCGGCTTTCCTATTGACTACGAGGAGGTGCGTTCAATCTCGAACCCACCTGCTGACGTACGTTTGGGAGTTTAGGAGGCAGTCTCAGTAAGAACCTCATGACCTCTTTAGATCAAGAAATAGATTTCTCTCAAACTTTGTACTTGAGATTGCCTTTATAAGGGTTGTTTCAAAATATATCTTGTTTTCAGTCTGATTTCATTTTGGCAAAGTTCCAGGGGGTCAAGTTGAGGGTTAAAATTATGATTTTTGCTGTTTCTCAATAGTGGATTTTTACTGATTTTTAAACCTCTGTACATCAAACAAAAATAATGATAAACCTAAATCATTCCACATGGTAGTAGCTTTATATGTCTTAAGTAACAAGGTATCTACAAATTTTTCAAATATGTTTTCTAAATATAGAAATGACATCATTCATGACAGACTAGAATAGAGATTTCTAAGTTCCTTAAAAATGGGTGAAATAAAAACTCTATAATTCAAAAGTTAGACTTGCCATGAATGTAATATTATTTGTATGGTGAGATTAAAGGTTGGTCTTACATAATATAAAATTAAATGTTGCGGCCTGAAAATTTTGGGGGTACTACAGGGCAACAAAACATCAACATTTTCAACTTTCGGTAGTTTAGATCAAATAAGAATGTTCACCTTTTATACTGTAAAATCTGCATTCAAAGAGCGAAATTTTACTTATTATTTCGACCTAGAACAGTGATAAACATTCGTTTGACCTTTACTGTTGTCTAAAGTTATTTAGGGAAAAGCACTGACACAGACATTTCCGTTATGTATGGACCACATTGTATAAATAATAACAATTTTCGAGCTGAATATAAACAAGGCAAGTTGTAAATTTCCAACAGGTAAAGATGTCTGTTAGTCAACAAATTATCGAACATCGATTTACTTTAAAGAAGATTTATTTAAAAAGTCAAGAGAAAACCTAACCCAATATAATTTATACAAAGATAATATATGCCTCGATCAATGATCCCGATTGTCAGTTGACTTATTATTTGACATTTGTCAGCTGTCATTGTTCTTTATTATTAATTACTTTCGATATCTTAATGATTATTGTAGACACAGTCTCATATATAAATTTTGATTCTTTGTCAACAGGCAATGCTAGTCAATTCCTGCATCATTATATTTGTCCGGAATTAATGTTGAGCTTTGCTCTGTCAAGAATGAAACAAACTAAATCTAATTTTTCTAAATATATAAATGTTTCTACATTTAGAAAATATATTTGAAAAATTTATAGATACCTTGTCACTTAAGGCATATAAAGCTACTATTGTGTGGAAGGATGTAGGTTTATTATGATTTCTGTTTGATGGAGGCAAAATCGTCCAAGGCTACAATGTTTGACAGCCGAATAATTTGGCTGGTCAGCGGCTTCCGCCATATTAACAATAACAAAATCGAGTAAAAACGACGGAGGAATTGACTAGCATAGCCTGTTGATGAAGAATCAAGATTTATTTGCAAGACTGTGTTGTCTACAATAGTCATTAACATATCGAAAAAGATTGACACTAAAGATTAATGGCAGCTGACAAATGTCAAATAGTAAATCTACTGACAATTGGGGTCATTGAATGACAAGGTTGTGGATCATAAACAGAAATGCCTGTGTCAGTGCTTTTCCCTAAAAGGCTTTAGACAACAGTAAAGATCAAACGAATGTTTATTACTGTTCTATGTCGAAATAATAAGTAAAACTTTGGTCTTTGAATGCAGAGTTTACAGTAAACGGTGAACATTTTTATTTGATCTAAACTACCGAAAGTCGAAAATGCAGATGTTTTGTTGGCCTGTAGTACCCCCAAAATTTACAGGCCGCAATCTTTAATTTTACATTATCTAAGACTAACCTTTAATCCCTGCACCATACAAATAATATTACATTGATGGCAAGTCTAACTTTTAAATTATAGGGGTTTTATTTCACCCATTTTTAAGGAACTTGGAAATCTCTATTTAGTCTGTCATGAATGATGTCATTTCTATATTTAGAAAACATATTTGAAAAATTTGTGGATACCTTGTTACTGGAGACATATAAAGCTACTATTGTGTGGAAGGATTTAGTTTTATCATTATTTTTGTTTGGTGTACAGAGGTTTAAAAATCAGTAAAAATCCACTATTGAGAAACAGCAAAAATTTTAGCCCTCAACTTGACCCCCCTGGAACTTTGCCAAAATGCAATTAGGCTGAAAACAAAATAATTTTGAAACAACCCTTATAAAGGCAATCTCAAGTACAAAGTTTGAGAGAAATCTATTTCTTGATCCAAAGAGGTCATGAGGTTCTTACAGAGACTGTAAGACTGAAATTTCAAATGACGCGAGCCAACAGATGACGACACTTTTGTATATAAAAAGGGCGCGTGAATTGAGCAAGTCATATATTATTAGCACTTATGAAGATCCGGGCTTACGGATTGAAAGCTTTGCAGTAATAAATTTACGCGGTGCATGTTTCCACAAACAAAACTATTATTGAATGAGTTTTTGAGCAATTAGGTTGTTACCCATATATTATTAAGAGGAGATTTGTTTGTATGTTACTGAACACGTGCTCAAATTTAAAACTAATGAGTGTAATATACCTCTTGCTGTTCTGACTATACTGTATACATCCAAAATTTTTATTTTTCGATACGTTTCTCAATCGGCAAATAAAATAATGCCAAAATGAAGAGATTTTAGATCGTACGCCAAAGAGAAAAGTATGTCTGTAGTTCAGCAAGTTTTGCTTATATTGCTGTAAATATGGCGTCACGTCATGGCGTATATTTTAAGGTAATATCATGATTGCGGGCATTCCCTTTGTTCTCGCAGGGCAATTAATAACTAATATCCCTCATTATATTCATTTTTCTAATCCTACCCGCTTTTACGTCATGTCAGGTAGAATTAGTTGTAATCCTACCCGAAACGACGTCAAAGCGGGTACGATTAGAAAAAATGAATATAAATGAAGATATCTGAAATCGCCAAAACTAAACAAAGACATGGAAAACAATTATACCATTTAATTTATACCATTATTTATTGTTAATTGCTTTTTAATGGCCCTGCGAGAACAACGGGAATACCCGCAATCATGATATTACAAGGTAATAGCATAGAAAGAGGCGAATTAGCAATTTGAAAACGTCCCGCCCGATGAGGGTCGTTTAGTAAAATTCCCTTGGGCGCCGCTCGATTCGGGTCATTTAGTAAAATTCCCTCGGGCCTTCGGCCCTCGGGAATTTTACTAAATGACCCTCATCGAGCGGCGCCCAAGGGAATTATACTAAACGACCCTCATCGGGCGGGACGTTTTAATAGCTAATTCGCTTCTTTTTATGCTATTACTTATAATAATATCATGATTGCGGGTATTCCCTTTGTTCTCGCAGGGCAATTAAAAACTAATACACCTCATTATATTCATATTTTCTAATCCTACCCGCTTTTACGTCATGTCAGGTAGAATTAGTTCTAATCCTACCCGAAACGACGTCAAAGCGGGTACGATTAGAAAAAATGAATATAAATGAATATATCTGAAATCGCCAAAACTAAACAAAGACATGGAAAACAATTATACCATTTAATTTATACCATTATTTATTGTTAATTGGTTTTTAATGGCCCTGCGAGAACAACGGGAATACCCGCAATCATGATATTACACTCCAACTAAATGACCCTCATCGAGCGGCGCCCAAGGGAATTTTACTAAACGACCCTCATCGGGCGGGACGTTTTAATAGCTAATTCGCCTCTTTCTATGCTATTACTTATAATAATTCCGCAGTTTTTCATTGCGCACTTTTACTGCGCACATCTTATAACTTATATTTTCATCCACTATACGTACCGTTTAAAGAAAAATCATTTTATGACGGTTTTATGTTACTTCAAAACATCTTTGGTTACATCTTTGGTGCAAAAAATTATGTTAAATCAATGTTTTCAAAAAAGGCATACAAAAGTGTAGCTGGGGTTCCCCGTGTCTGTAGTATATTGCTTTACTTGTATTTTACGTTTTAATGCCACAAATCCGTAAAAAGATCGGTGACCCCCGTTTTTTAACTGATAATTTATTTCTTTAATGCATTTTACATTTCATATCCGAAATTAAAGGAAAAATCATTTCTGGATCTTGAAAAAAAGTCCTTTATCAATGCATGTTCTCAAAGAAAGATATGTAAAGAAATGTGGAAAAGACATTTATGAATCACAATTGCATGTACACGTTTGTAGTTTCACTTTGCTCAAAACACAATATTTTTTCAAAAATAATTACAAGATAGGTTTACTAAAGCAAAGTCCGCGCTAAAAACGTCAATAAATATCGGGCTGTTGTGAGTTTGCTGTTACTCGTAATGAGCGTCAAGATAGCGCCATATTGGGGTAAAGGTGGTATATTGTGATTGTCATATCTTCTTAACGAGTTCGGTGACCCCGACTTTTTTGTGTGATTTTACTTTAAGTATATCATAAACTCCATGCCTGGGAAGTTTCAGCACATTCTCATTTCGGGAACAGTTACTGCGGAATTACCTTAAAGATACACTGAAATTAAACGCTGTCTTGTTTCATATACGCAAAGGCCGTCGGGTTTTAAAGCAATTACAAAATCAATATTTAAAACAAACTTACCTTCGTTAACGTCGGCACCCTTCTTTTAGCCGATTCTTTCGCCCTTTCTTTCTGAGAAAGCTTTTGCAATTTACAAAATCTTGCAAAAATGCGAGCGAAAAAGAAATATATTTGCAAGAAATTTATTAATCATCAAATCAAGAAATGTTTGCTATTTCGCTGTCGTCATGCAGTCGTTATAATCGCAGAGTAGAGACATACAGAGACGTAACTAGTTTACCCACTTTTTTGTGCGCATGCCCGGCCAGTTACTAGATGCATGCATCTGATTGGATGACGACCTCATGACGACTCACTTTAAACTTGCTGAGCACGCGAAGTTGATCATTTTTTGCCCGGTCGCCTGAAAAAAAGTGGGTAGATGAAAACGTAAGCTTCCGTGGTGTTTACAACGGTCAGTTACGTCTCTGTATGTCTCTACTCTGTGTTATAATACAAGTTTTAAATTGGACCAATCAGTGTACGCTATTCATGATAGCCCGCCATATTTTTGAGGTCAGTGAGGATGACGACCCATCGTTGGTGACCCACGCGCGCGATTTTTGATGAGTTTTAGACTTCGCTAATGCTTTCGTTTCCCCGGGTGTAGATAGCCAGGGGGATTTAATACCCTCGCACGGCGCTTCGCGCCGTCCGCTCGGGGATTAACGTTTGTAGAAGTTCATGATAAAAGGAAAGCAAATTTTTTTCATTAATAGCGTCCTGTACGAATTAAATTTATTTCATTTCAAAGTGCGAGTAATAAGTTCAAGCTCAAGTTGAAAAGTTTCATATCGGCAAAAAGCAGTTGATTTCAATTCACATTTAAAAACTTTTACGTAGAATTTCATTTTGAATTTTACATTAAAATAAAGTCCATGGAAAACAAAATAATATACCTACTTTATATATTTTAGAAATTGATAGTTCTGTATTTAAAAGTGCTCAATTTCATCTATTGTTTGCAGGTTTGTACAAAAAATAAAAAAAAAAAACAATTATCGTGTTGCCATGACTACCATGACGTAAGCAACGGGAGCCTGCGTTCAGTGTTGGCGTGTTTACGACTACTTCATGTTGAAACAATGTTTGGAGAATGTAGGCGAGGGGTTGCTGCATGCATGTATTTCAAGTATCGGTATTAAATGATGAAACCCTTCAATTGCTTTCCAAAAATACTCTCTCGACCCTTACCATTGTAAGACTAGTAAAATGTATTAGTTGTTTTGATGCGTTTGATTTTTAATTTTAATTGTAAATTTACAAATTTCCCTTTGTTTTTCATAGTGACTTTCACCCTTCAGTAAACCACCATCTTGAAATTATTATCATTGCGCCATTCTCATCTATACGCTGTCGCTGATTGGCTACAAGCACGCTTACAAACTTCCGGTACGCGCACGATGGCAATATATCTACATTCGCAGATAAAAAAACAGTTATTAGCCAGAGCTTTTACTCGTGCATGCGCATAACGTCGAAAACCGTCTGTGAGATAAACAAAATGGAGGACAACTTTGCACTTCGCTATGTTTTCACATACCCGGGTATAATTAGCCGTGTGGGATTAGTACCATCGCACGGCGCTCCGTGCCGTTGGCTCGGGAGATAAACTTTCAACTTTACATGCATAGTGATACTCAATGAGGTATAAGCCACTTTGAATTCTTACAAAATGCAGCCTGGTTTTGGCAATTACACCCTAGCTGTCACTGATTTTAATTGACCTTTGCGAGTCCTGCCTAATTAGTCTAGGGGCCATTTGTGGTGCCCACCGACTCTAGGGTTGCCGTTTGGAACGCCACAAAATGACAAATTACGTCATCAGTAATTACGTAATTCTTACGAAATCAAAATCAAAATGGTGACCATGGAATAGCGTGCAAAAGTTCGCTATTGAATATTTGGTCCAGTCGTGTCTTTCTTTTGGGGTTTTTGAAAGAAATATATTAAGAATTCACTAAAAGTTATCACGACGTTTCACTGTTATGTTATCGAGGAGGGAAGTGGGGCATAATTTTATGTATTTAAAGTTTGTACTGTATCACTATCGCGCGGCGGATTCGCGGAGATATCGGGCACGCAATTCAGTTGATGCTTTCTACATATTTACTATTGAATTTTAATTTCGAAATCTCCAACGCGCAATTTCCAAACTTTCCAGTCAGTAATAATATTTTAGTCTTTTGGATCTACATAAATTAACTTAAAGTCAGACATCGCCTGCTTCTTTCGAGTCTACATCCTGTCCCTATTAAATAGCATTGAAGGATTATTAACGATCATTGGGACAAAATGTATCACCAAAAGCTGAAAAGGAGGAACTCAAATTCCTGATATCGTGTGGAGGTAACTTGGAATCTTTCTTGGCACAATAACATATATTATTATTCCATGCAGTTCGCCGCCTTTATACTGCACACTGGTATGTAGATTAGTAGATATGACCGAAGCCGTGAAGCGTTATTGTTATACATGGTTGTAGACACAGGTCATTAGCTAGTCGCTTGGTAATCATGCGAAATACTTCTCCTCTCACGAGGCATTATTGTATTAGACAATAGACAGACGTTATAATGCGTCTAGTTTCGAGGCGAAGAATATTCTTGCCTTCCAGCCTTCGATGCACTAACTAGCTAGCTTTTAAAGTTCGGTTTTAACTTGGCCAGTTGGTAACATAACACCAGCCGAACTGTGTAATGACAACAGGATAAACGCTTATAATTTTAACACATACGACACACTATACTGTATACAGTATACTATATGACTATTAAAACAACATTGCTACATGGTTGTACTTGTTTTAACTATTAGCGCTAGAGTTTTCGGACTGAATAATTCGAACAAAATCATGACAAAAGTTGCCAATTTCACAAATAAAAAAATGGCTTTTATAAATTCATATGATCCAAATAAACTGGAGATCCAGTACAAGAACCTATCCGTAATATTTAATTTTCAAAAAAGCTTATTTGATCTTTATAGTTAAAGCGTTCATTCACCTGTTTTTGTTGTCAAGACTAGTTTTTTGTATAAGATTGTCCGCGAAGCGTGTTCGCACGTCGCCTCCTTGTAAACGCATTTTCTTTGCAATTGTTGCACAAAACTTCACGACATTTCATCTATATGCAGTTTAAAGTTTGCTAATTGTTTCCCTGCAGATAAAAGCTGTCAATGCATGGGCGTGAAAAGTTTTTAAAATCCATCATTGTATCGTCAAAACAAAATCTTTCGCTCTTACAGCCGCCATTTCGTTCGAAAGCAACCTACAGTTTCCTACCTTCATGAAAAGAGGGCATCGCTATAAGGGGAAAGGTCTATTTGGGTTAGGTTTATTTTGTTGGTAAATATTCCTGGTTATTATACCTAGTTGTTTTATATTTTATCTTTGAACAAGTCTAACCAAGTTTATGCTGTACTTAACGAGAACAACCTGCTTTAATCAATTAGATATATGCTTGTTGGATACACGTATAGATACCGGGCTAGGATTTCCACCAATAGCATAATAGTCATAATCCAGTACTGCATTGCGGTGCCCGGGCAAACATCCTATTGAATGTAATTCTGATTCTCAATAAACTAACAGACTTGCAAACTAATAGACCTACAAATTCACGCAGCGAATATAAAGCGATAGCAAACTTCATCCGAGCACCGCAATAACAAGACATGAACATGAACTTATTGAAATAATTTATTTAGCTTAATTATTTTTTAGCTAGGGTGCTTTTAAAGCCTAAGAAGTCAATATTACCTTAAAAAGTAGATACAGTAGTGCAAGCATACATTTATAAAATCTTAATAACGTGCACAATTTTGGTACCTTATTGACAAATGTTCGGTGACTCCTGGATGTTTTGACAGAAAAGCTTTGAATTGCTCCAAGCCAATTTCTCCTTTATGGTTTGTTTCAATTTCTTCGAAGAGAACTTCCATGAGTTCATCGACTTGCTGTTCGTCAAATTTTAGTTTGCTTTCTTCCATACAAGATGTTAAAACTGTTCTCATTTCGTCTTCGCTCAAATAACCATTTCCTTTTCAATAAAATAAGACAATATTAATTTTAGAAAAATGGGCAGTCACAAACAGCTAAAATTGGTGTGTTAAAGCTGCCTTGGAAAGGTATAGTATCATAAAGTTTCGATATTTCAGTCCAAGAGCGCTGCCCAGGGCCATTCCTGCCATAGGGCCTATAGTTGGATTTTTCGCACATGCTCCTGGTTATAGTTCCTGCAAAATGCATAAAAATTTGCATTAAAAAAATGTCATACACTAAAGATCAATAAAGTGTCACCACATACAGTATGTAAGCTGCTATAATTCCAAAGTCCGTCAGATATTTTTGAAAAGCACAATTTAAAATCCGATATATAGGGAAAGATTGGATTGCATGTCTATTCGCATTCCAAATTACGAGAAACTGTCGTTGTTAACATACCATCTATATCATAAACTCTGAACAGGAATGTTAGTTTATCAGCCACAGTTCCATTGGTCAAGAGCTCCAAGCCTGCGACGAGTTCTTTCATGCCAATCATTCCATCCCCGTTATCATCAAACAGTGTGAAAAATCTTTCAGCGAAGAATGTCTGAACAAGAAATAGTAAATTTGAACGGTAATGCGAATAGGCACATACATCCAGAGGTATATAATTATGTAGGTTGGTTTAGAATAAGTGGAGGATTTACACACTGCAAAGAGCCATGAGCATTTCGACTAAAAGGCTTTAGTAAAATTTGCACTGCACTGATTCAAAATTTTGAGTAATTGCCCAAACATACAGATATGTTCAAATCTGAGTTTTTGTAAAGGTCAAATTTACTCAAATGTTTTAGTAAAGAATTACTTTACCCAACAAATGAGCGAATTCGCTCATTAATTTTTGCATTATGATTCCATATGTTGCACATGCATCACAATAAGTGCACTATTCTGCTCACGTTTTTGAGTTAAATCCATTGCAGTGTAAACATTTACACTGATTTCAATTTCATTTCTTGAAGACTTGGACACTATTTTCAATGACATGTTTTACAAAGAAGACGTGTACTGACCTTTTCCAGATGCAATGCTTTCTTAAAACGATTAAAAGTGAGTTTGCGGACTTCAGCCATTGAAATATTGATCCTTTCTTCAATCCACAAGAACCACTTTGTATCCGTTGATGCGCTACATACAGAACAGCGCAGTAGAAAAAGCATAATTATATAGAAGAAGGAAAATACTCCCTTAATTCTCAAAATCATAATGCACATTATGCGCTCTTGAATGCAATAAAATTTCCTCCATAGTGAAAACAAGCTTACCGCCGTTCCCTATGTTACGTGGATAGAATCACAACTACCAATTAAACGCTGTTAATTTGAGGGTGTTAAAATAGCACCTTCGTATGTGCTAAAATGACACAATAATAGTTTAAATAACTAGTGTTTATCTAACACCGATTTGGGTGCTGATTTAGCACCATGCATGAAGTTGGGAATTGATTTTGAAGTGCAAAATTAGCACCTTAGATATTTAACACTTTTGAAAGTGTGAAGATAACGCCTATCTATTGAGTGAAAGTGTTAAAGTATAGCAAAATTTATTTTGGGTGTCAAATTAGCACCTCATGAATTGTTTTCAGATTCAAAAGGGCGGACCACGTAGGAGCAGTTTACGTTTTTCAGACAAGTAAACGGGGCAAATGATCACGTTTTAAGTGGCAGTCCCGCTAAGAGCGGTCCGATGACTTTGACTTCGGAAAATAGATTTCCTTTATTTTTTGTGTGTTGAAAGGCATTGGTATAAAAGCCAAAGTGTCCAAAAAAATTTATTTTTTGAAAATTCTTTTTTATGGCTTCGCTAGACGTCGAAACTCATTTTATCCGTGCAGAGCTATTTTTAAGCAAAATCGAAGGTTGAATTTCGGTAAATCAAACCGCGCTGAGTCAAAAAGCCTGACTATTTCCAAATTCCAACTAGATCAGCAAGTTAAGATACAAATCAGGTTCCCTGTTTAAAAAAATAAGAGCATTTGAATAAATCGTGAATAAACGACAGCAACTTGACGGCACACCGGTTTTTGCTTCTTGTTCGGTCTACAAAATTACACTAAAATCGAAGCCTGAGATCCCCAAATGGGGACCTAAAATTACGCTGACATGTGCTTGGCTGTAATGATTTATTGATTTATACTTGTTTTCGGAAGATCTGAAGAAAAACCTGCGGGTATCAATCTGTACTTGGCGCGAGTTAAGATTTTCTGGAGCCCATAATCAATGATTTTTGCATAATTTATAGCTAATTAACATATTTCTTGAGAGGCACTAAATGTAAACAATTTCTTTCTGACTAGCGTATCTGAGATGAAAGAAACTACCACAGCTAGTAAAACCCTTTTTGTAAGTATAGTCGTAATGTTCTTTTCCTGACACGCTGAGAGAGCTTTGTTTTTTAATGTTATGCCACATTCATTCAGTCTGACCAGATTCATGAAAAAATGTCACGAACTTGCATATTTCAAAAAATATACCAGAATTCAGAAAGACCGATTATTCTTTCCTTGATTCAGTTGATTGATTTAGTTGATTGATTTAAAAAACTATAAGTATAATAGAACATTCAACGCGTACGTGTTTCCATTCCCCCTAGGCCTAGAATTTTTATCAATATATTCTATTTTTCTGTGGCGACCGGACAACAAAATACGACACAAAAATGTTCATTCGAATTGATGACCGAAATATCAGAATGTTATTTATGAAGTTTGAATTGAATTTACTTACTGCGGATTCAGGTAGACCGTGAAATGCGAATAGTTTTCGCGTTAGTTTTAACAGTTGTACGATGACGTTTCTAGGCAGATTTTCAAGTTTTCAACGTTCAAATTTTAAAAATAAACGTTGAAGCCACGCCTTAGAAACGTCGAAAATCTGCCTAGAAACGTCATCTTACAACTGTTAAAACTAACGCGACAACTATTCGCATTTCACGGTCTATCTGAATCCGCAGTAACGCGAAATAAATACTAAAATAGGAATTTTCTATGTTGGGTTAGTAAAAGAAAAAGCATAATTTTAATTGTATGTAATTTCGATGAATACTATAAAAAAAATTATACGCATTGTTTATATAAATTAGCTAACATTTTCACATTTATTACGATAGTAGCGACGTTTGTTTTAGCCACGCGTACGTAACAAAATAAACTATAAGCATTCTGATCAGTTATTTAACAAAAATATCAAATATGTGAATTTTAATTCACAAACTTTTGAAATTTATTCTCAGCTATGCCCTATGGAGCTCACGAATATATTTTTTTCAAAGAAAAATATTGAAATTCGATTAATTCTAAACTTGATATTTTTGTTAAATAACTGATCAGAATGCTTATAGTTTATTTTGTTACATGGCTAAAACAAACGTCGCTGCTATCGTAATTAATGTGAAAATGTTAGCTAATTTATATAAACAATGCGTATAATTTTTTTATAGTATCCATCGAAATTACATACAATTAAAATTATGCTTTTTCTTTTACTAACCCAGCATAGAAATTCCTATTTAGTATTTATTTGGCGTCAAGTAAATTCAATTCAAACTCCATAATTAACATTCTGATATGTCGGTCATAAATTCGAATGTACATTTTTGTGTCGTATTTTGTTGTGCGGTCGCCACAGAAAAATAGAACATATTGATAAAAATTCTAGGCCTAGGGGGAATGGAAAAAACATGCAATGTTCTGTTATACTTATAGTTTTTTAAATCATTCAACTAAATCAATCAATCAACTGAATCAAGGAAAGAATAATCGGTCTTTCTGAATTCTGGTATATTTTTTGAAATCACAAGTTCGTGACATTTATGAATCTGGTCAGACTGAATGAATGTGGCATAACATTAAAAAACAAAGCTCTCTCAGAGTGTCAGGAAAAGAACATTACGACTATATTTACAAAAAGGGTTTTACTAGCTGTGGTAGTTTCTTTCATCTGAGATATGTTAGTCAGAAAGAAATTGTTTACTTTTAGCGCCTCTCCAGAAATATGTTAATTAGCTATAAATTATGCAAAAATCATTGATTATGGGCTCCTAAAAATCTTAACTCGCGCCAAATACACATTGATACCCGCAGGTTTTTCTTCAGATCTTCTGAAAATAAGTATAAATCATTACAGTCAAGCACATTTCAGCGTAATTTTAGGTCCCCATTTGGAGATCTCAGGCTTCGATTTAGTGTAATTTTGTAGACCGAACAAGAAGCAAAAACCGGTGTGCCGTCAAGTTGCTGTCGCTTATTCACGATTTATTCAAATGCTCATATTTTTTGGAACAGGGAACCTGAATTGTATTTCTACTTGTTGACCTAGTTGAAATTTGGAAATAGTCAGGCGTTTTGACTCAGCGCGGCTCTACAGTTTACTGAAATTCAACCTTCGATTTGGCTTGAAAATAGCTTTGCACAAGTAAAATGAGTTTCGGCGTCTAGCGAAGCCATAAAAAAGAATTTTCAAAAAATAAATTTATTTTAGACACTTGCATACCAATGCCTTTCAACACACAAAAAATAAAGGAAATCTATTTTCTGAAGTCAAAGTCATCGGACCGCTCTTAGCGGGACTTCCACTTAAGTATCGTCTTTATTGTGATCAAAAGGCAATTTAGGCTAAATTTTTGCATATATAAGATGAGTGGAAGTTGTAAACGGTCAAGAAACCAGGTCTTGAGGAATCGATTAATACAGAAATTTTGAAGGCTACGTACCCAAGTTAAGGCTTATTACATCTGGAGATATTGGCATGCGGAACCCCTATTAATTGCTATGGAAGGGTACATATTCGTGGATTTATCACACGGCCACCTTTTTAACCACCCATGGCTGTGGAGTACACACCTGCCGTATATACCTGGCGTTTCAAAAGTTGCCCTTTCAAACCATCCTCAACAAGCAAAGAAGAGGAAATTGCTGCAAAAACTCGTTAAAGAGTTCGATCTTACAATGTATGTTTCTAATATACTGTATACTTCATATATGACATAATAAGAAATGCTGTAAAGTATGTATAAATAAATATTTCAATTCATATATTAATTTGTGTGTCGAACAGGAAGGGGTATAAATCTTGAATATTTATTTGGAGCGCTAAAATAGCACTAAAATCGAGTGTTATTTTAACACGAAGGTTCGAGTGCTAAAACGACACCTAAATCGGAATTTCAATGACACAAAAAATGGTTATTATAGCATTTTCCCAGGTGCTAATTTGTCACCTTACATAGTGGGTTTAAAATAGCGCCCAAAAAGGTCTTATTTTCTACCTTTTTATTCGACACCATTTTTGGTGTTATTTTAACACACTCAAATTAACAGTGAAGCTATTGCTTTTTCGGAAGAGAAAGAAGAATGTCTACCGTTCAAGTAGGTCCAAACTGCTGACTAGGTAATTGATATCTATTTCACCATCTTGATCACTATCCAATAGGTCAAACACGTTTTCAGTGAACTGTAAAAATAGGAAGCGTGGATATAAAAAGAATTGACATTTAAAACAAATATATTCCTGTATTCTACACTCAGAGAGTGGAGGATTAGTGTCGTACCCTACAATGTGACCACTCAGTCACCCTTCAGCAATTCAAAAACAGCACTGACACTCAAGAGAAGTCCAGATTGAACCTCCACTCTTTGAGTGTGAGCGTGGGTGAGCTTTTAGAATGCAAGCTAAAGAAACGTATATATATATATATATATATATATATATATATATATATATATATATATATATATATATATATATATATATATATATATATATATATATATGACATCACACTGTCTGTTGGTTTTAATTGCTTTTCCCTATGCTGTTTTCTCTATGTTAGGTAATTGGTGCAAACAGCTTATTAAGATTGTTCTCTGCCGCTCCCACATATATTTTTTGCACGTTGCATAATCTTAACAGTAAACGCGAGAATGTTCTTTAGAATTGCATTTCATTTTCAGTCATAATTTAACAGGATAATGATTCCTATAATCTTTACTTAATCGCGTTGTTCATGCGCCGAAGCAAATTGGTTGTTGAAACACCGATCCTTTTGTCTGATTTAAACTCTGTCCAGAGCCTTATCACTTGAGTGTTTTCAGTTTTGTTGATTTTATGTACAGTTATAACAATGGCGACAGTGAAGCGCACATTAATGCTAAGGTGGTCGCACGACTTCCCTTACAATTTGAAGTTTGAGACTGGTTTTCTGTTGAAATTCGTCCTAATTTTTCCTGTTCCGGTTTTAGATGAAAATGAACACTTGCAAATTTTGCAATTACTGACTGCGTTGCTTGCTTTTTTTAGTTAAAACGCCAGCCATTTAGACATTGTTTCTTTCCAGAGGTTTCTATTCTGAACAGAGGAGGTTGGACAGCAGGCCGCAAAGCATCATGAGTATTGAGCGCCTAATTCCATGCGTGCATGGCTTCATTGACTGTTGACTGTCGAGGAGTGAACATGTCTCTGACTAAACCAATATGGAAGCTTTCGAACGACAAGAGTGCCAGATACTCCGTGAAAACAGCATATTGCTGTATTGTTGCGACCCTCATTATGACTTGTGTTTTACTATTAATACCAAGTTTGCCTTTTTTTAAATTGCATGGGACGTGCTGTCATTTTAGATTAGTTTATAAATAATCCGTCTGAGCGAAGGAATTGTGTATATATTCGAGATAGACTATTATGCGAGTCGTGCGAGTCCTGCGAGTCGAGCGAGTTTTGCTAGTCTTTCACTGTTTCAGCTCTTTCAATGCATTCTACTCTATGTTAGTTTATAAATGGTCAAATAATATGTCTTTGATACACAACCCATATATCCTTCTCTTCCCTTATAAGTGATAGCTTGTGCTTATAAATATTGAAATATATTTCAGTTATTTCGGCAGTTTTTATGGAAATTTTTCAGCATAGTCAGCAATACGATACCTTACTTCCCATCTCCCCTGCACGCATAAATTAAAAGCTGGTATTGCCTATTGTCGCGTGGGACATCACAAAAACCTTTTTCGCGTTTAACACTTTAACGTCATTGTGAAAAATGTGTATTGGTTAAGGCATCGAAGTAAAAGATTTTAAATTTGTGATCTTTACATCTTATCTTGGCCCATTCTCGTCCCCAAAGCCATTTTCACTCGGTCACTCGTTCAAAATTAGGCCCTGGGTTAGACAACTAAAGGGAGAGATCTGATTGGCATCTAAGAGAACTGCTATTTCGCAGAAGTTGAGCAGTTTTCGGTTGGCAAAATTATCCTATCAACATAATAATTAAGTCAACACAAATACTTCGGTTTTTCGTAATTAATACTTCACTTTGAACATTGTTATGGGTGCTAAAGCATCCCAATTCAAGAGCATGCGCTTTAGGAAGTGCTGCAAGTTTTCTTGCATTTCCGGTTCCGTGTGTCCCAGGGCCTGGGGAGGACGTGCGCGGCCGAGAGGCCCTGGGGACGGTGGAGTTGAATAAAATGCATCTGTTCATGTGATTCTTAGATCGTGATCGAGACAAACAACTGCAGACATAATTACTCCATAAACTAAGTTAAAGTAAATTAAGAGTGGTACATGGACTACATGTGCAATTGGCTATCTCCCCGGCAGGCTATGCAGCGCGTAATGAGTATTGAGTATGCCCGTTCGCAAGTTAAAATTTGAAATTTGAGACGAAGGCTTGCTTGGTCAATTGGTTTATGTCTGATGCATCCAAAGGTAGAAAATTAAATCGTAATTATCGCAAGAACCGCATCGCAAGCGTCGCAGCAATTTTAAAAACGCGAAATTTTTAATAGAAACTGTGATTTATTGGAAACTTGAGTCACACCGATAACTAAGATTCTTACGAAAAAGTCGCAAAGATAGACTTACTGCGATTTTTGCGATAGTGATGTCTACGTTCCGGGACTTTAAGGAACTGAACGAAGATTTATGCGAAAAATACATTTAGTAATCGAATTTAGTATAAATTTTGCATATCAAATGAGCTTTCGCACGTTCTGATTGGCTAGTTGACTACTAAAGCTGAGGCATTATTTACCACCTGAGTAGTAAATAATGCTTTTCAAAAAGAATGATTCGGCACATTTGGTGACAAAATATTGAAAAAAATCGTCCCCAGAAAACGAAAGAAGCACAAAATGTTGTATTTAACTTGAAAGGTAGGATTCCTTTATTATTTTACTGTGCCAAACATATTCACGGACAATTTAAAACTTATTTAATTAAAATTCCGAAACTTTCACTTCAAACAAATAGCAAAAACTATCCCGATTGTTGGGAAAAACCTTGCCATGATATTCTTCTAAACCCATTTTGTTTTGTATCCTATAGATTTTTCAATTTGTATGAACTCTTTCTTTTGATATGTCAGGCTTTCATTGTGTTGTATGGTGTTCTGACCGCTGTATTGTGTTTTCGAAACTTGTAAAGTGAAAAGTGTTATTAAAACTTTATTTCGAACGATATAGTTTTACATTTCATTTTACCAAATTTCTCAGCCATTTCCTGAAAAATTAATGCTAAACAGAACTATTTTTTAATTATAAGCCTGGTGAAAAAGTCATTCCGTTATTGTGTTTATATTCTATAAAGCAGAAATCGAAAAAAAACAACTTTGTAATAATAAAACAATAAAGACACAAAAGAAGCCATTTTGAAAGCTTGCGTGCACAAGAAACACTGCATGCAATGCTATTGTGAACAGGCCGAAAACAATTTTTGAATTCTGAATTTTAATCCAACTGATATTTGGATATTTTGTTTTATTCATTAAAAATTATACTAAAACAATTATTTGCCTCAGGCTCAGTGATTACGGTGAATATTCACCTCATCTCGACTTAGTCTCGGTGAATATTCACCGATAATCACTTCGCCTTCGGCGAATAATTGTTAAATATAACCATTTATTATATGGCAAGCATTTGTTTTGATGAATTGCGCAATTTCATTGGCTGCGGATGAGGCAGGATTTTCCCGTATTGCCCATGGGCAATACGCAATTTTTATTGCACTGGACAAGAGCCGAGTTTCGAACGGCAAAAAGTGTCTAAAAGTCTTTCAAAACTATTCAAAACGAAGAAAAATAAACCTAAACTAAAGAAAGGGAGCACCTTCTTTGGTTAAAGAACTTTCTCAATATGTTTTTGTTAGGGAAAGTCGAAATTACAAGGTAAATTTTACAATGTTTATAACTATTAAAGAAGTCAGGAATAGCTGTGTTTTGACTTTGTGAAGAGCTGCAAATCTTATTTGCAGATAGCCGAGGAATTTGACACAATCCTAAATAAAAAATACAACTAAAGCAGCCACAGATTTATATTTTTCCCTGAAAATTTCTGGGTTTTTTCGATAAAAAGAGATATATTTATGAGATGAAGCAAACTAAAAACGTATACTTGTCCACATACTGTTTATTAATTTTATTGTTTCCATATTTGTTGTCTTTGTCTTTGATTAAATGACGAAATACTTCGTATTTTTCTTTGAAATACTATGAAACTATGTTATAGTACCGGGTGTCCCAAAAAAAAGTAGGCTCCGGTTTGATTCGTAATAACTTCTAAGCAAGCAAACCTTTTAAAGAGAAATAACATGCATCAAATAGAGGAAGGACTAACTTAGATTTTGATATATTACAGTTGTACTTCACTTAAAAATTTACGGAGATATTAATGTTTAAAATCGGGAGCATATTTCTGGATGTGTCTGAAATATGCAAAAAACGGCGTATCAAATATTAATCAAGATTTTCCCGACTGAAACATGCACGATCACCAGTAAATAAATGACACTTGACAAATTGTTTATTATGAAACAAAGTCTGTATTATTATCTACAAAATACAAGCAAGATTTATTCATCCGAAATCTGTGTGTGTTCCTAGCACGAATACGTTTGCTTATTTCATGAGACCACTGCATCGCGAAGGATCATCATGGTCGTTCGTAGTTCTGAATTAGGGCATGCTGTCACAATGGAATTGTGAAGCTCTTCTAACTTCTGCAACGTTCTGAAATCTTGTTAAGAACACTCAAACTCATTTGCCTTTTCTTAATCTTTTTAAGTTCAGAATAAACTGAGAATAAAACACAATCAAACCATTCAACTCCATAAGACATAACAATTAAGCATGCAACTCCCTAGAGACATCCAAAATTTTTGGAACAAAACGTAACAAAATGGTAGCGTTGATACTGTGATGTGTATTTGCAAAAAGCAATATTATTTCCTTCATTGCAGAAAAATATTCATCCTGCTCTAACCGAGAAATAATCAACTCTGTTTTGAACCCATGAAAAACATAAAAAATTAGGCTAAGAAAAATTTAAGCGCCTGCCTTGCATGGTCTTTCATGTACCTTATAAATTTGTAAAGTTTGTAAAGACCTATTAAATACTTGCATAATTTCGTACGTTCATATTTGAGGAAACATTGAGCTAAGACTTACATGTAAGAAGTCTAAATCTACGCCATATCCCTTACAAACCCTAACGACAATTCGCTGAAATACAAGTTAGCCTGATATGTCATCAAACAAACAAACGCTGAAGTTAATATTTGATATGCCGATTTTCGCTAAATTTAGACACATCCCAAAATATGCTCCCGATTTTGAACATTAATATCTCCGTGAATTTTTAAGTAAAGTACAACTGTAATATATCAAAATCTAAGTTAGTCCTTCCTCTATTTGATGCATGTTATTTGTCTTTAAAAGGTTTGCTTGCTTAGAAGTTATTACGAATCAAACCGGAGTACTTTTTTTTGGGACACCCGGTATTCTATATAAAAAGTGCTGTAGAGTAGTTTTACTAACCAAGCTTGAGAATATTTTTTACAATTGTTCTTTTTTGCAAATGTTTCGGACTTTGTACTTTGCCCTCACGTGACCTTTTCCCCCATTTTTTACAAACATACAATGCCATATAATTAAAAACTTACTGACCTCAACCGTTCTGGCAGTACGGGAAAATATCCAACCTCGGTCTTGCTGTATTGACCTCGCTATCGCTCGGTCAATACAGCAAGACCTCGGTTGGATATTTTCCCGTACTGCCCTCACTCTCGGGTCAGTAAGTTATTAGTGTTTGAAATTTATAGTTGAAATTATTGAGAAAAATGAAGAGAGTTGCATTGTAATACATAGAAATACAACAATGTCAATGCGTATGATAATCGTATTAATTTATAAATATCATATTATTTACCTCTGATTATTTAGACACTATATATACTCAATACATGCAGTACTCACTAGAACTAGATCTATAATATATATTATGTCTATACCATATACTTACGCATTTTAATTAATATTGTGACTGTCTTGTGTCAACTGTCATTGCAAAATTGCCTTCGTTTTTAAATTAAAGAAAAACGTTGCGATTTCAATAGGAATTGTACTATAATTTGCACGAGAAAAGAATACAATCAGGTCGGGTTATTTTAAAAACACTTCATTTTTTGGAGAACATTTAACTAAATTGGTACACTATACTACCCAGTCAGGTATCACTTATAACTAAATATAAAGCTATATATCGGCGGTTTTTCTTGTGCTAATTAAATTGAACAAAATATTTTCACAGTTTATGGAAATGAAGCCTAAAGCTAATTTCTCATTCCGGTGGTTACCGTAGTTTCAGGTTTTAGGACGTGTTTTTAAACGCCGGACCAGAGTGCACCAGAGTCTGCCGCAGAAAGAAAATTGTCAGAAGATTTGCCTCATTTACACTTTGACTATTATAATCTCTGCTAATTTTTGCAATGCACAACACAACTTTAAAGATGCTGTAAAGTCCAAATGTAAACAAATTGCTTTGTTTACATTTTGAACTGGCATATTTGTAAACTATGATCGTATACTAACTGAATATCTGACACTTTTCTGGTTTGCTATGCTTGTAAAGGAATATAAACTAGACGTTTTAATTCAAAAAAGTTCGAAAGATGCAAAATTTGAGCAATGTCTATATCTGTGAGTTCCCCTTTTTTATGCGCAGAACGGACTTAACAGCATCTTTAAATAATTTATAATTAATGGTTTGAAATACACACCTTCGCAATGAATTGAATTATGGTGCGTTTATAAAATTATTTACTCAACTTTTACGAAGATCCATGATGACCAGCTGCATTTGATCAAAATTCACAAGACTCGCAAAACTCGCACGACTCGCACGACTCGCATGACTAGCAGACTCGCAAAATAGCCGACCTCTTTATATTCCTAATAGCGAGCTGGCTCTTCTTTCTAAGTTGGATTTTTATCTCCGTGTATCACCAACGTGAAAACAAGCGCAATATTTAAGGTTGGTATTCTACAATGCACTACAATTATATTGTTATTTAGTCAAATTTCCGCTTTGTTGTTTTTATTGTTGTACTGTAATTTCATAAATAGGCCTACACTGTACAAAATTATGGCGTATTAATATTTGTGTTTATTGCCTCTAGTTTAACCCTATGTATTGTGTGTGTGTCTATGTACTGTGTCATTGTGATACATATGTACATTCCTTGAGTTAAACAAATTGTTTAATAAATTTTTTCTAAGTATGATGCCTGTTTGTATCTAGTTGTGGATAGATTTTTATATATATATGTGCATACAGTAGTTAGATATTTTTCAATTTTCATCTGTAAAATATTGCCATATTTGTGTGTTGTTCTAATATTACTGTAAATAGTGACACACTTTTGCATTAGATTGCTAATTTTACTAGAGATTACACTGTATGTATAAAATAATAAAATAAATATTTTCTTGTTATGATTTTGTAGAAAGAGATCTACTTGAGTGGTTGGCTGAACCTATTCAGGATGGAAATGGTAATGTCTAATGAAGGTGATAGGACAGAAAGTGGTGACCAGTTAAGTGATGAGGATAAAAGTGACGAGGACGAAATCACCCATGCTGTACCATTTAAGTGCATCAGTGCTGCTCATGAGAAAAACTAACAACATCATTTAGAACAGGCATACCTTGCTCTTCATGGACAAGATAAACCAGTGAATGTAAGAATATGGACAGAGCAATTGAATCCAATGGACCCAAGTGCAATTGATCTAGACTATGGAACTGGATGGACACATATTGGTTTATTGCTTCTGAACTATGCGAGTATTTGCACCCACTAATTGCCGCAGGAGATATCTTACAGGTCTATGTTCAGCATATCAAGCATAGGGTTGACTTTTTTAAAATAGGATTTTATCAAAAAAATTCATAAAGCGATGTGGTGAGTGGGAGACTCAAGTGGTAAGTGACGTAAGTAAGAGCATGAGTGTACGTTGACAGATGTTTGTGATATAATAGCAACTGACTAGGTTTAGCAAGTTATAGAAATACTGTTATTTGAATTGTCTAACTTTTTAGATTTTTTTCAGCATTTTTAAACAAAACAAGACGCCTGCTCAGGCGTTCACACTGGTCTGAAAATGGCAACTTTCGTGGTAGGGTGTAATGTGTAGTAGAGAAGTAGATAGGGATACAGGAGGTCTGGACCATATAAATACAACCAATAAATACAATCATGATCAGCAACTATCAACCATAATATACCAAGACGCTGGCTCAATCGTACCCTCCGGCTACGGGCAACTCAAACCTGACAAGCCAGGCCCACTGTCAATACGATCCACCGTAAATAACGATGGGCCAGTAATAGAGAAGAAATTATATAGTCCCTGATTTTTAGTGCAATTATATGGCTGGTTTCAGGTGCTAAAATGTTTATAGACATGCATAGACGATTCTTCAAAAAAAATTACGCCAATTAGCTTCCATTTTTAAGAGAAATGACAAATGGAAGCTATAAAAGGTTAACAAACGAGGTAGAAACATCGTGACGAGGCGTAAAAGCGTTGAAAACGAGGAAAAAGTGAACAAGTAGGATGAAGTCGCTACGTGGAATTCTCAAGTAGAGACTGAGTTAGCGAAAGCAGGCGACGTTATATAAGAAGCACTTGGAGAAATGGCAGGACGATTACAAACTGGAAAAGGGGAGAAATTCTTTCGAAGAGAAATGGAAATACGAGATAATATTACACGAAACTAAATGAAAACTCGAGTCCGAACGTCAAGCGAAGTTGGAAAATGGAAGTTCGTCGAAGGAAATTCATGCCAAGGAAGTGGAAGCGAACAAAATTGGACGGAAATTACATGCACCTGTCAAGTTTCGGGGGTCAATTCACCCAATCGATTCAAAAATCTGGGTTAGCAAGCATTGCAAATTTTCATACCTGTGAGGATTTCTTGTAGTTGTAGACAATGTCAGACGTGAAGTAGAGTACTTACCATTTACATCAGAAGCCTACAATCGAGCAAAGGCTATATTGGAGGGAAGATATGCAAAAGAATCAGACTTAATGAAGTCTTACGCGAAAGATTTTTTTGAGCTTACCATACATTTCGACAGCGAATTCGAAGAAAATTGCCGAGTTTAGTGACAAATTGACACATTGTGTCCAGTCTCTGCAGTCACTCAAGAAGCTGGATGAAGTGAATGGGTTTACTATGGTGACCATTGACAAGTTACCAGGTATACGGTAATTGTGTGTTTCAACTGTGCTTTTGAAACTCATCAATGGTTCGGAAACAATGTCAAAGCAAAACATCATGCCAAACTTGTCATAGCAGACATCATACCTCAATATGTGTCAAAACACAGCCTGAAGAAATAAAAAAGTGGTATTAACACCAAGTAGAGTGGGGAAGGAGTTTTCCCAGTGGTCCTGCTTAAAGTGGACGGTATCATAACGAGAGCACTGCCGATACAGGAGCCGGCAGCTTTTATGTCTCAGCTAAAGTCGGAGATCTGCTGAACAACAAACCATAAAAAGTTTCAACCAAACGTGTCGAGATGTTGATGGGCTCTCACTTAACGAGAATAGAAACGTATGCTGTTGTTGTTCACTCCTTTGACAATTCCTTCAAAGTGAATGCAAAGCTCACAAAGGTTGACAAGAACGAATTGTTGTCAATAGACAATCCACAATACGAGCACGTTAAAGCTAAGTACCCCCACCTATCACAAGTCAACCAACAATTATTGACGACCAATGTTATTCTAAGCGTGGGTGACTATGGGAGAATTAAGGTTAACCAACCACCACTGTTAAAAGAAGCTGGAGAACCTGTTGCTGAGTACACCAAACTGGAATGGTTCATCATGTCGCCCGGAATTGAAATCAACAGGCAAACTATGTTTCATATCCAGACCAATCATATAAATTATGAGGAACTGTGCCGTCTTGATGTATTGGGCTTCTGAGATTCCACAAAACACGAGCAGGACATAGAGCACGCATAGTTCAATTAAGAAACAATTACAACGATCAGCTGAAGAATGGTACGAGACAGGATTACCCTGGCGGAGCAATCATCCCCATCCGTCTAACAAGGAATTTGCAACGAGATGGGCACATCAAAGAATATGACGCGGTTATTCGAGCACAAAACAAAGAAGGTATTGTGGGAGAGGCACCTACAACGGTTACTGATAGAGAGTTCTTCATCCCTCATAAGGGCGTTGTAATTTCGGATACCTGTTTTTTCTGAATGGCGATATGTCAAATGGAAAATTTTAAACAACAACTATTTGCATATGAAACTGTTGGGTAACCTATCAAATTTAATGTAACATAATTTTAAATCTCCTTACTTTGTTGCAAATGAGACAAAGTTCAGTATTTGACCTGTCGAATCTTGGTATGAGATCACTATACCGACAAGGATATGCAAACCGTTTGCTACTATTACTATTATTATACAAAATCATCCCAGTGAACTCGCTTTAGTGCCATTTTTACATAACATATCATATCATATAGAATTTGGAGAACTCGCATGTGTGGTGGTATGTCCGTCTTCGGAACTCGAAATTCCGATAAACATTTGTCCTCAAGCATGCATAATTCAAGAGAAAATCGATCGTTTTTCCAATAAGCCAATACGAGCGTTCTTTCTTCACATTCCTCACAAACAAATAAAATAAATCTTTTTCTATTAGGTCTTCTAAATTCAAAATTACTGAGGCACCATCACGTGCATCTACATCCGCCATTTTGTTTGTACTTTGTACTCGTTTCATTGGCTGACACCTAAAGGTCAAAGCTCAGCTGAGAGTGTCGCCTGTATTCTAAAAGCGCACTCATACTCACACTTGAGTGGCGTTCCAGTGAGAAGCAGTGTGAAGTTGAAGTGTATGTTTGAGTGGAGGGAGAGAGCATTGTTGTACTCATTGAGCGAACACTCACACTCGAAAAATGGTGGTTGATTTGTATTCACCAAGCGCACTCAACTGTCACTTACTCGAGTTGCACTCGCTTTTGTTATTAATGAGTACGGAGGAAAGACGTATTTTCGACAATTACACATAAAGTACAGACGTACAAAATGTCCCAACCCAGGCGGTATTTTTCACAGTTGGAGAAGTCAATCATCAGAGAATTAGTTGCTAAGCACAAGGATATCCTTGAGAGCAAAAGGAATGATTACAAAATGATTAAACAAAAAAAAATAGCGCTTGGGAAACGTTAACAGAAGAGTTTAATTCTCATGCGGGTGTTTATAAAAAAATAAAAAAATGCAGGGAAAATATCAAGTCTCAAGCTAAGAAATCTATCGTCAAACAAAAGAGAGAAGTCAAACTGACTGGTGGTGGTACGACCTCATCGGAAAGAGACGAAGGAGCAGAAGCCGTTGTTTCAATAATTCCAGATCAAATGACTAGCCTTGACAATGCTTTTGACGATGATAATTACGAATATACTGTGCAATGTACTGTACTATATCATGACAAAATGATTAGTATGGAAGTTGTTGCTAGAGATTGGAAAACAATCTTCTGGATGAACATAAGAGGAAGATGGAGATCCTTGATGCGGAGTTTGAATACTGGAGTTCTACAAAACAATGCAGACTTAATACACATGAAGAGCCTCCGAAGCGTATTACACGACAAAGGAAATAAATCAATCGCCTTTTAGAGGGGTTAAAGCAATGAAACATGGCAATCCTAATCTTTGATACAAATAATTATTAACATAAATATCATATCGAATACTTTATGAGGTCTTATGTATACAATTATAATGATATGTACAGTACTAAACGTTTACGTATAAATAAAACAAGTATATAATGCAAAATTCATGTGAAGTGTTGTATTATCAGAGCACGACATGTCGCGTTTCCCAAAGGTTGTTTATAGCAGGCGCAGAATTCTCATCAGCATCTTCCAGGGGTTCCTCCTGGATGGGATTATTAGTTGCCACAATAATTGGAAGGGTAGTTGAAAGTTTTGTTCTAATAGATTGAAAGACAAGGAAACAACCTCTTCCAAACCCCAAACATCTTCTTCACTATATTTCTTGTTCGAATGTGGGATGCATTATATATCTACGTTGCGGGGTTGTCTGCGGGTCCACCAGTGGCGTCATCAAGTATGGTCGACAAGAATGGCCACGTACGACTGTTTTCAAATATTCTATGAACGCTTCCAGACCATCGAACAATAATGTTTTGATATTCTAGATTTGGTCCTCAAACTGCTTGAACATTGATTGAAAAAAAAACCCTTTCGATTCCTAAAAAGTTGTGCGTTTTAAACTCCTGCATGGCATGAAATTTTTATATGCGTACACTCAATCTTCCCAATAACGTTCAGAAATGCAGATATTCTTCAGAAGTCAAGTTTAATTTGTGGTAGCAAATCAGCCGCGGAGATTGAATATAATTATTTTTAAGAGAGCAATTGCTTCAGATACTCGTTTAATAATTCGACTTGGAGACGGTTGAGAAACGTACCAGTTGCATAATAACGTAATGTCAACAAAAGCTTTATGTCCGCAGGAATCTAAATCTGATTCGACATTGCTCCTAAATTCTATTTCGGTTTCTATATTATTATTGGGTGGAATATTGTTCAAATGTTGTAATCTGTTAAGCCATACATTCGCCATGTTGTTCGTCACTACTTCACGCGTGTATGGTTCAAGGGAGGTATACCCTACACTGAAACTCCATTTCAACTTATTTCGATGGTGAGTGCCGTTTGTGAATGGTCCGAGGGCGAGTGTCGTTTCCCACTCATTGAGAGTCGTTGCAGACTCATTGAGTGCTGAGTTAATCAGGTGCCACTCTTTGAGTGTGAGTGTACTCTTAGAATACAGGGGCCGGTTGTTCAAAGCTGGTTTAACCCTAGGTTAACCTAAAATTCAAAGCAAACTTCCTCACAGCTTGTCTATAAATTTGAAAATATTTCTTCAGAGATCTTGTTTGAATCAGTATGAGTTTACTTCTCTGAAGATTTGAAATAAACAGACGTGTAGAAATACACAAACTAAAACAGCAAGTTAAATTTTAACTCAGGGGTAGCGCTAATCCACTTTTGCACAACCGACCCCAGGCGTACGAGCTCAAGTTGGCCCTGGTCCACTTCTCGAAATTTGAACTCGTACTCGTTCTAAAATCTAAACCTCCCTAGTAGATAATTTGGAGTTTCCACATACGCATCCAAATGATGCGTTGTGCTTGGAGATAAAATTGCAGTTGAAATATCCATGTAGCTGAGTTTGGAAGAAATAAGATATGCATACTGTTCAATCATCATGTAATATATGAACAACGAGAGCGAGTGTTTCACCGGGATATCCAAACTGACCAAACATGAGAAAACAATGTATGAATAATACTGTTTGGCTATCCCGGTGAGACACGAGCTCTCTTTGTTTATATGGCTTCTCAAATGAATCGAGACGTAACAGAATGTTTTCGTTTGCTGATTTGAATAGAATTATTAACCAAGCATAACGTAATTAGGAATTCTATTCAAGTAATTTTGCATCCGTAATTAAGATATTTAATGAAAACACTAGTGACTTTCATCAAGTATCCAAATGGTATCTTGTGATCAAATAGGTAATTATCATTGGCTGAATTACTCATGAATTATTAATGAATTTGAGAATTGTATATGCAAAATGTTGCTCAAAAAACAATTATTTTTCGCACTGTTGGTTCGCTTTTTAAATTACAAGATATATTCTTTATTTTGCTTTGCGACATTTTACCTAGAAATTTGTATGCATTTATCGCACTTCAGCACGCAAATTTACCGACAGATTTGGGTGCACGTTAGATGGAAATTTTGAAAGCATTTTTGTGATTTTTGCTATTATCCGCCACCTTCTTCGTCTGCTATTTGGGTATCTAACCATGCGTCTGCTGCCACTTGCATCTTCCTCTCGATCAACAAAAATCAACTGACTGAATAATATATGAAATAACTAAAATCATCACTACACGCAAAGTTCATGTAAACGTTACTTACCGTTTCATCATCAAGTGCCGATCTAAATTCAGCTAAGTGAATATCACTATCTTTTCCACAGACGTCTTCGAAATATTCGGTAAACCAGCGACATGTTTTGTTATTCTTTTTCTTTCCATCGCGTCTACCATAATGGAAGAAGAGTTTTAATATAAGTGTGTTTTACAGATTAGGACGGCACCGTGACGATGACGGCTAGTAATACAGTGAAATTAAGTAGTGTTTAATAAACGAGCAGGAGTGTTTTATTAGGTTTAAAGCCACCAGCGCGCACACGACTACAAATTCAATAGATATACGGTCTTATTAGTATTCTTTATTTAAAGAATACTAATGAGGACATCACTACAATAGATACTGCCTTATTAGCATTCATTATAAAGAATACTAATTAGGAGTGTTAAAATTTTATCAGGTTTAAATCCACTGCACGTGACATATTATGGTTGACATGATTTGCCAATAAGCTTATGAATTATTAATGAGTGTTTGAAATTAGATGTTAATGATCCTTCCTGGGTAACTCCCAAATTAAAAAAAACTCATCAAGTTACGTCAGAAAGCCTACACACAGAGAGAACAAGAACGCTTCTGCCAACTTCGCAACGTCGTTAATCGTGAGCTCAAAATGCTCCGAAGCAGATATTATACCTCGAGGGTTGCGAACCTCATGAATGTTAAGCCAAGTCAGTGGTGGAGCGAGATTAAAAAGTTATCAGGAATGATCGCAGCGACGCCAACCGAGGATATTCGCCCCCAACTTCATGTCGATGAACTTGATGGAAAGCCAAATAAGGATATTGCTGACCTTATAAACGCTGTAGGCCGTTTGCTGCGACCTCGAAAAGTGCCTAGAAAACGATTTTCATTAAGCATGTCTTGGAACTGAAATATTTTTACGGGAACTAACACTTTCGAACACGCTGAGTTCAAATCCGAAAGCTTCCCGTACCGTAGACCCTATTTTATCTTCGCTAATTTCACAACAAATGTTTTCATTGTTGAACGACACGGATGGATGAAGACACACGATTGCATAACTCAAAATGACTAATTCCTATGAACCAGTCTCTACATTGAACAATGCAAAAGATCAGTTCTGCTCGAATTATTTTGAGTTATGTAATTTTAAGTGTGTTGGACGTAAACAACATATCTTGTCTACAACTTTGGGAAGGTACCGATATCGCTTTGTAAAATCCTCAGTTGTGGCTGTAGCTATCTCTATAAAGTCACAAGGACGTCAATTATAAGTCGTTGGGCTATATCTCTGAGATGAGAAATAATTCCTTACATGCGATCAAAATGTTTTATACAACGATGTAAAACGGTAATCTTATGGAATGGGACAGCATTTCCATTTCCAACACACTTTCTGAGATGTAATTCAAGAGGTAACTTATCATTGGATTTGAACTATTATATAAGTTGGTGTTATTCTGTGCGATAAGCGAATATTATTGGAAAGAGGGCTGCTATATATACGTTGAAATCACCAAATAAACAGCTTATGCACACATTTCTCCAATTCGTCGTAAGTTTACAGAGCAGATTTTATACCTTATAGCACTGGTCTTTGTCTTTGATATGAACATTTATTCCCCTAGTTTAAGGATATTTAAGGTTCATCTTGTCGTAAGTCTTCTACTAGCAACCAATCGACAATATTTCACTTTAGCGTTGTCTTTGCCGTTACGTTGGCTTCCCATTACTTTTGTTTTAAATACCTTGATCGCGTTAAATTAGTTATTTTTCAGGCCAGTGATATAACGAAAAGATTTAGCATTAACGTCCTTGTGATTTTACAGAGATATCGCTAGAACTGAGAATTTTAGAAGGCGTTATCTGTACCTTCTCAACGTTGTAGACAAGATATGTTGTTTACGTGCAACACGCATAAGATTACATAACTCAAAAAAATTCGGGCCAGGGTTGGTAGGTTTGCTGAATAATTAGGCCAAACACCGTCACACTAGGCCTTTGTTTTCTTTGTCTTGGCCCTTTGTTTTCTTTGTTTTCTAAACAGCACTAATGACGATTTGGCCTAATTATTCATCTAACTTACCAACCCTGATTCGGGCAAAACCGATCTTTTGTTAAAAGGAAGACTGGTTAATAGAAATAGGTCGTTTTGAGGGGTAGCCTCGCAGTAGCTCGGAAGAGTGATTTTCATTGGCTCGATTTGACAATTGCTTTTGTGATGCAGTATAACAATGAATTGCTTCGTTCTTTAGAAAACCCCCATCCAATTGGAGACGACCTTCCGAGGCACTGCGAGGCTCCCAGTTTTGAGTGATATAATCGTGTGGCGTCATCCATCCGTGTCGTTGAACTATGAAAAAAATTGTTGTAAAATTAGCAAAGATAAAATAGCATTATGTGAGAAAACTGCGGGTTTACGGCGCGGGAAGTTTTCGGATACGAACTCAGCGTACTTGAAAGTGTTAGTTCCCGTAAAAATATTTCTGTTCCAAGACATGTTTAATGAAAGTGAACGATATCAGGACGCAGCAAACAGCCTCCTGCCCTTCTATTCTAGAACCGATGCAGGAATATCAATCATGATGTTGATAGTGATTCGGAAGTTGATAATCTGTTGATAATGATTCGGAAGTTCTAACGCTTAATGACTCTATACAGTTTACTCAGCATTAGTAAAGCTAAACCCTCGAAAAGCTTCTGTCCCAGACGGCGTGCCGAACTGGCTCCTTAAAGGTTATGCCGAGTTTCTCGCGAACCCAATCTGTGTTATCCTGAAATGAAACATATATTTTGTTTTCCTTACGTTAAGGCTAAGCTTATTCATGTTGAGCCAATATTGTAGAATTTTTAAATCATCGTTTAAAACAGAAATAATCTTATTGACGCCATCATCAGCATATGTTAAATTGGTATTATCGGCGAATAAACGCCCATTTGATACCAACTGACATTTAGGGAGATTGATATAGAGTAAGCTATAAGAACGGTAGCGGGCCCAGAATGGCTATAGATCCTGTGGAACGCCACATGTTATCTTGCAGCTACCTGACGATACATTATTGATAAGAGTGATTTGTGTGCGCCCAGAGTGGTAGTTTCGGGTAATTCTACTGTTTGTTTGCTAAATCCATAACGGTTTAATTTACCATTAATCAGGCCGTTATCCATATTCGTATACCATTGATTTGTGGCGTCAAGCATTGCTGTTAGGGTAGAATGAAGATGTCGTCTAAACCCAGATTGCTCTTTAGATAGAAGATCGTTTTTGAGAAAATTGTAGGTTTGATGGAACACGACTTTCTCAAAAACTTTTGAAATTACTGGAAGAACAGATGTTGGCGGCATATAGTTGTTGAGATCAAGTTTTGAGTCATTTTTATGAATTGCAGAAACTCTGGCACTTTCCAGTCAGCTGGAATAATTCCTTTACAAATCACCAAATTAATAATATAGGCTAGACGTTTTCCAGACCACTCGCCTTACATGTTGAAAGTTTATCAATTGATCTAGAAATTTAGACTGTCGATGCAATTTGAAAACAATGTTATTATTGCGGTTAATGTTATTAACCGCTGAAAAAAATCGTATTAATCGTATTTGTAGGGATTTGAGCTGCTAAATTCGGGCCTATTTCTGTAAAGTATTTGTTGAAAGCATTGCTTAATAACGCCTCAGCATCAAAATTTCTGTGCCATTTGCCAAAATTTTAGGAATTTTAATTGAATTTTTTTGCCTTAGATAGAAGGCTGTTGATACCTTTCCGAGTTTCCTTGGTACGACCAACATTATTTGAAAGTATGAATTATAGTATTGTTGCTTATTATTTCTGATCTTATAATTTACTAGGTTTTTTTAGTTTTGAAATTTACCCAATCACTTTCGAGTTTCGTCGTTGGTGATGACAGCCGTTGTAGAATCAAACACTATTTAATTGCTATTTAATTCCTATTTTATTGGGCTATTTAATTCCTATTTACCAAAGTATTTATTTCCTATTTTCCCTATTATTTTTTTTCGAGATTTTCCGGCCTATTTAAATTAGGGTAGAAAGGCTATTTTTTTCCTATCCAAGTGCAACCATATTTTTTTCCTATTCATGATATATTTCTAAACGAATACTTAATTGATGTACTCGAATAGAAATTAAATAGGTTTCAAATATGATAAAAATAGAGCTATTTAAGGAAATTATTAAAAATATTTAGTTTTGACATAGTTAATAAATATGTATAAAATAGTTAAAACATAGTGACAATATAGGTAAAAAATATGTAATAAATAGGTAGAATGAGTTTCAACAAAGTTTAAAATAGTCAATAAATAGTTAAAAAATAGTGATAATATATAGTTTAAAAGTAGATAATAAATAGTTCAAAAATAGTGATAATAAAGTTTAAAAATAGATAATAAATAGTTCAAAAATAGTGATATTATAGTTTAAAAATAGATAATAAATAGTGACAATATAGTTTAAAAATAGATAATAAATAGTTCAAAAATAGTGATAATATAGTTTAAAAATAGATAATAAATAGTTCAAAAATAGTGATAATATAGTTTAAAAATACATAAAAATAGTTCGAAAATAGTGATAATATAGTTTAAAAATAGATCATAAATAGTTCAAAAATAGTGATAATATAGTTTAAAAATAGATAATAAATAGTTAAAATACATCCCAGCTTGTTAAAAATAGATAATAAATAGTGGATATAATATTGCCCAAATAGATTAAAAATAGTTAAAAAATAGTAATAATATATTAAATAAATAGTTAAAATATGTCCTGTTAATACAGTTAGAATAGTTATTAAATATAGTGTATACAAATACATATAGCCTATAAATATTTTTAAAATATATTAGAAATACCAGTAGTTAAAACATAGATAATAAAAAGTTAAAACATATAATGTAAATAGTCTTTAAATAAAATATAATTAGTAAAAGAAATTGAGAACAAGTGTAGAAGTGCTGAAACATCAGAGGCTATTACTGACCTACTTTAGTATTTATCGTCTATAAATGCCAGACAATTTTACTTATCAGTAGGTAGAGGTCTGTCAATAAATGAGTTAAAAATCTTTAGTTAGCAGTCTCTATAGTAGCCAAAGAGTTAAGTATATACATACAGTAACTTGGCTGGGGACTGGGCAGAAGAAAAGCAAGAACATCATGTAACATCAAGAATAGGGCGAAGCTCGGCTGCAGCTTCTTTATAGGTTAGAAAAAACATTTATATATTTGAATAATACCCTGAATCTAACTGGATATTTTTCAACTATCCAACATATATCCTGTATGTAGCTGGATAGCAAAAACATTCTATCTTGCACACCCCTACAAAGAACTTCAAGTAGGTAACATAAGAGGTGAGATATTTTGGTGAGATATTTTGGCCAGCATGCCACAGTCGGTAAGTAAAATTGTCTACCATGAAATGTCAGAGTTAAATAATAATATCAAAGTACTTAAGTAGGAAGTGTTATATGTCACCATAAAACATGGGCAGAGTCTAGCACTCTAGCTAGACACTTCCTTTGACAAATAAAATTGTCCGGCATTAGGCAAGATAACATTTAATAACAAAGTGCTGAATATTGGGCTCATTGGAGTGAAATGGGTAATTCCAAAAACAATCAAACCCTTGCCGGGGTGTCTCTAAAATATATAAAATGAAGCCCAAAGGTTGTTACATATATTATTAAGCAGATCATGAAGACATGTGGTGTAACTAAATGTAATCATAAGTTTGAACAAGCAAACTAAAGACTTTAACTGTTTTCAGTTAGGGACATGTCTATAATCAAGTTGCCACAAATGACAACAACACATCAAATTGATATTTTGATCTATTCTAAACTGACCCACCTATATATGAATAAATATTGGAAACTTATGAAAGTACCAGTTAATTTGAAACCAATCGATAAATTTTCTCAAACCATGTTTCGCTGGGACATGCCTGGGTAGGCATATGAGAATTGAGTAGATGCATGCCAAGCCATATTATTTTATACAAGAAGCACTGGAATCTGGCAATCTGTCATATACACTATACACAAAGGTCAAAGTATACTATTTGGCATTACAATAAACAACATTTAATATAAAGGCTGAGTCAAATGTAAGCCTTTCGTTTTAATTCAAATATTGTCAAAGCAAATTGAAATTTTAAGCTGGAACATGTGCTCAAAATTCACGAATGAAGATAGTAAATATTTTCTTTCAAAATTGCTCTATTTATAAATTAAACGTAACAAAATTTTTAACTGGATGTTACCCAGTCATCCCTGATGTGTAATCTTTTAAATAAATATTACTTTCGCTCAATAAATGCTCTGTATTTGAGTATTTCGAGCGGAAAGTTTAAACTCAAAAATTTTTAAATATGGCGGTGTGAATTGTGACGCTATCCCAGAAAGCTTTGCGCGCGTTGTTGGAAAGTTTGGCGCTAGTCTGTGAGTCTGTCAAACCGCGCTCTTCGTGAGAATTTTTGGTGGTGTTTTGTCAAGAGACCAAATACCTACCTCCACAAAGACTATAAATATTTTTGTAAATATAATTTCAATGAACTCATAAAAAATTGAAAATTAATTCAAACTGGTAAATTTTGACCAGTTAAATAAATACATTTACCCTTTCTCAATTCTCACAACTTTCTATGAATAGGAAATAAATAGCTTTTTAAGATCTAATTATTTTGCTATTTATTAGCTATTTTAACAATAGCTCTAAAAATAAAAGTAAACAAAGTTTAGAAATAGCTATTTAATAGCCACTTGAACAAACTTCGCCACAACTTCCTATGAATAGGAATCAAATAGCTATTTAAGATCTATTTATTTTCCTATTTAATAACTATTTTAACAATACTCAATAATAGCTCCAAAAATAAAAGCAAACATAGTTTAAAAATAGCTTTTTAATAGCTATTTGGAACAAAGTTCGCCACAACTTTCTATGAATAGGAATTAAATAGCTATTTAAGATCTATTTATTTTCATATTTAATAACTATTTTAACAATACTCAATAATAGCTCCAAAAATAAAAGCAAACATAGTTTAAAATAGCTATTTTATAGCTATTTTGAACCAAAGTTTGCCACAACTTTCTATGAATAGGAATTAAATAGCTATTTAAGATCTATTTATTTTGCTATTTAATAAATTGTTAAGAATGGCTCCAAAAAGATAAGCAAAAATAGTTTAAAAATAGCTATTCAAAACTATTTTAACTGACTCGTTTGTCATCAATAGGAATTAAATAGCTATTTAAAAGCTATTTTATAGTGAGATTCCGTCAAATACTCTATCAAATAGGATTTGAATACCTATTTAAAAGCTATTTTTTTTAAAAATATAAATAACATATATTTTAAATAGAGTGTAAATAGTCATATCCTATTTTATGAAATTTGATAAATAGTAATAAAATTATAGTCATATTTTTGAAAAAATACGGAAAAAATAGGGCTAAATAGAGAAAAAGATTAGATTCTTAATTTCAGCAGTAGGTCATGAAGCACTGATTTTTCGTACTCTTCTCTTTTTGATAGGCGCATGCTTGTCATAGGATCATCATATGATCCCACAAAGTGCCAGGGGACTGATTCAATGTCGCGCTTAAAGTTGTTTTCATTAAAACCTTTATATAGTTGCGGCATTGAACTGTTATTGGCTTAAGATTTAACACGTGAGTATTTTCTAACAGCATAGATAAGATTATGGTCGCTGATATCAATAGTATTCGGTCGTAAAGTTATTTGGCTCGTTTGTGAGAAAGAGATCAATCAGTGTAGAAGAGCTGCTAGTAATTCTAGTAGACTCTTTAATGAGTTGAGTATATTGATATGACTCAGTATAAGTTCTATAGTGGGTGATGGGTATTATTGTCTACTACAATGGCGTTGCAATTCAAGTCACCGATTATGTCGTTTTCAATTCCCAGAGATTTAACCTTATTACTCGCTGGGGCACCCTGTGCCCCAGACGAGTATAGGTTTCGGCTCTGTTCTTGGATCGGCAATCTCCAATGTCCAATGTCCAATCTCCAATCTCCAATCTCCAATCGTCGATAGCCACAAAATAGAATATTAATGAGCTGCTTGATCCTTTTCAAAATGGCGGGGCCTTTCGTGCACTGAGCTGCTTTCGTGTTTCGTGGAGTGGGGCCTCAGCGGGCAAAATGTTTCAAACAATTTCGTGAAAATGTTGAACCAATTGTACCTGTTTCCTATGCATTTTGTCTAACTCTGGACATTCTTGCTAGTTTATTTAATGCGTATTTCTTGGTGCACGACTCTGGAAATTCGAAATTTGGTTCGTTGAATTCCCGTGCACGACCAGGCATAATATACTGAATCTGAATATAAACGAGCCAAAGACAATTGCAAGGTAAATGGTTATAATTTAAACTGCACAACGTAGTTTTAATAAATAACTACTTTAGGAGAAGCATATATTTGGTGTCATATCAATATAAAAATTATCGAACAACAGTCCATGAAAACTGTAGTGTTCAAGTGTACTCAGTGTGAAATATGATATTGTATTTGTAATGCCTATTAATGGAGCAATAAGGATAAAATACCACCGTTCGATTCAGCGTAAGAAATTGGACTTACGGATGCCAAATCTGTTACTAAACACCAGTATTCTAGTGATTTATGGCCTTTGAAAATCAAGCGAAATTGTATTGTTGACATTGTTATTTTACAATCCATGGTGCGACCTTGTATTGTATTTGTATTGCCTATAAATGGCGCAATAAGGATAAAAATACCACCGTTCGATTCAGCATAAGAAATGTATTTACGAATGAGAAATTGTACTTACGGATGTCAACTGTATTACTAAACAACTGACAACAGTATTCTAGCGATTTATGGCCTTTGTATTTGCAAGCCAAGCGAAGTGTATTATTTGTTGAGAAATCGCTCAAATTATAAAAAAATGCAATACGTTTGATCCTTGATAACTTTGGCATCATTGGTTTTCTCTTTGTCGGCCGTATACCAGTGGATTCGTCTCACTTCTCTCTTCATTTTGATAATATTTTGAGCCCAAAAGCCCCCAAATATTTTATTTTGAACGTTTTAAACTGGCGGCCGACAGAAGAAATATGTAGCATACTTACTATAAAATATAACTTTACTTGTGGGCATAATGCATGAGTCAATTCCTGGAGTAACCATCCCCCCCCCCGGGACACCCCCGGGCATTTGGCCGATAGACAGTTCACGGGGGTCGGGAATTTGCCTTTCATATATGTGCATGGGGGCCGGGTATTGGAAGACCCCGGGGATTTGACAAATGGTTGCCCAGAACAACCATTTTGTTGGGAGACCCGAACAAAAACTATAATCCGGAGTTTGATATCGGAGCATTGAAATTTAAGCTGGAGAGCTTTGCTGAGAACGTCGACAGCAAATTTCAAGCTCTTACAAAAGAAGTGGCTGACATTAAAGAAAATAAAGTTTATTCGATTATAATTCTCGAGAACACTGTCCATGAATTAAAGAAAGAGAAATATGACCTAATCAAAGCTAACAACGACTTAAGAGAGAAAAACGAAGTATTACATCAAAAAATTTCGGATTTTAATTCGACAGTACAAAGATTGGAAGATGAGAAGCAGAGTCTAATCACAACCCTAAAGGTAGTTCAAAAGGAAACTCAAACTGTTCAGCCGGATTTAAATGACAGAATGCAAAACCTTGAAAACGAAAATAAGAGCTTATCAACGGCATTAACACTCTTGCAACACGAATTAGATAATACTCAACAACATAAATGGAAAGTTGTAAAGACGAAGTGTAATAAACCACCTCCAGAGACCCCAGCAGGATCAAATACTATTGAAACAAAAAATCAATATACAACCCTTAGGGTCACTGATTCTGAACATGACGATATTCCAGCAAGACTGAATACCCAACAGATTCTAGATGAAACTTCGAATACAACCAAACACAGCAACATACAGATGGTTGGAAAAAGCAGTGGTCCATCAAATTCTAATGAGTCAAGTCGTGACTCACAACGTAGTCAACCTAGAATAGCTATCCTCGGAGATTCGATGATTAAACATTTGGACACCAAACGAATGCAGAATGATTGAAGAAAGGAAAAGTAACGATTAAGACATTTCCTGGTGCAGGTATTGACCAAATGAAGCATTATGCAGTACCAACTCTAATTACCAAGCCAAAGACACTTATATTTCATGTTGGAACCAACGACTTACATAACAAAACACCAGAAGATCTAATAAATGCAATGAATGATCTTGGTGAAACGATCCATAGACAGAATAACGATCTGGAACTTATATGGTCGGAAATAATAACTCGAACTGATGATCCAAACTTAGCAGAAAAGGTAAATGTAGTCAATGCCGAGCTCGCTAAATTATGTACAGATAAGGGCTGGGGACTTATTAAACACAACAACATTAAAGGAAGTCTTTTAAATAACTCTGGTCTACATTTAAATAAACATGGAACTACTATATTAGCTAAAAACATAAGACAATTTCTTAGCAGCCATTGACTAGATCCTGAGTTTTCAAACACTACGGATCCTGATTCAACATTTTTGCATATCGTAGATCAAATAAACACACAGTCTAGTTCACGACAAACAATGCAAATAAACAGCACGCCTTATCCAAAACTGAAGGCTTTAAAATTGGCCATCTAAACGTTGCAAGTCTATATAAGCATGTTGATGAACTAAGAATTTTTATGAACGATAAAATGTTTGACATATTAAGTATCAATGAAACTAGACTTGACGGCACTATTGACAACAACGAAGTTAATATCACAGGTTATGATCTTATTCGGAAAGACCGAAATCGAAATGGTGGGGGTGTCGCAATTTATTTACGAAATGTTATTCCCTACACTATTTGCAATCACTTACTTTCAAGTACAGTAGAAGCTATTTGTATTGAAATTAACAAGCCTAACAGCAAACCTCTACTGATCTCAACATGGTATCGTCCTCCCGATGCCAAGATAGAATTACTTGTCCATTTTGAAATTTTTTTACAGAACATTGATGAAGAGGACAAAGATTTTGTTATAACTGGTGATTTTAATTGCAATTTTCTGTCAACTGAAAATAATAACCAACATACAAACAAATTGATTGAGTTAATAAATGAATACCAACTACA